AGAAGGCTGAAACTGGAGTGTTCAAGGCCAATCTGGGCAACATAGGGAAAAAAAAAGAAGGCTGGTCCTGGTGGCTCACTCCTATAATCCCAGCAATGTGGGAGTCTGAGACAAGAGGATCACAAATTCAAGTCCAGCCTAGGAAACAGCAAGACTCTGTCTAAAAAAAAAAAAACAAAAAACAACTGGGTGGGGGGCGGGGGGGGAGGTGTTAGGGTTGTAGCTCAGTGGTAGAGTGCTTGCCTAGCACATGTGAGGCAGGGATTTGATTTTTAACACCACACAAAAATAAGTAAATTTTAAAAAGATACTGTGTCCATCTACAACTAAATAGATTTTATATATATATATATAAAATAACCTGGGGATGTAGCTCATTAGTAGAGTACCTTTGAGTTCAATTCCCAGTGACAAAGTTTGAGAAAGATAATCAGTAATGAGACATGTTCTAAATAATTGCTAAGTTAAAAGTAGACTACAGAGCTGGGGTTGTGGCTCAGCAGTAGAGTGCTCATCTAACATGTGTGAGGCCCTGGGTTCGATCCTCAGCACCACATAAAGATAAATAAATAAAGGTATTGTATCCATCTACAATTTAAAAATATATTTTTTTTAAAAAGTAGACTATAAGATGGGCACAGTGGTACACGTCTGTAATCTCAGCAGCTTGGGAGGCTGAGGCAGGAGGATCACAAATTCAAAGCCAGCCTCAGCAACTTAGGGAGACCCTGTCTCAAAAAATAAAATGGGCTGGGGATGTGGCTAGTGGTTAAGTGCCTTGGGTTCAATCTCTGGTACAAAAAAAAAGTTGACTACAGCTGGCTGTGACTATGGGCCCCTTTTTTGGTTGCTTTTTGTAGTGCTGTGGATGGAACCCAGGGCCTCCGGTATGCTAGGCAAGCACACTACCACTGAGCTATGACCCTAGCTTCCAATCTGTTTTAAATATTTTTTAGTTGTATTGGACACAGTGGGGACAAGTGCATGGAGGACTGTATACATGGCATATGTTAAGGGCGTCTGAGTGGCAGGCCACTCCCCTCTGCTTAGTGCATGAGCGGCAGACTGCTTACCCCTTAGGCACAGCCCTGGGTGTGGGGCCATGGGTTGCAGTCCCTGTGCTTGCTCCATGGCCCACTCCTCCATTGGCTGCTGCAAGGGCAGTTAACAGACATTGCATTGGTGGCTGCCTGTAATCAGCTTAGCTACTGCCTGAGTAAATATACGTGGTAACTGCACAATAAAATCAGACCTGCTTCCTGCTTGGTCTCCGGAGGTCTTG